CGACATACGCCAGAAACACCACACTTTGCAGCCCGCAACGAGGGCGTTGACATCCTCAGGTGCGAGCTCGCAGATCACATCTCTCACGAACACTTGGTGGCCAAGAAACGTGATGATGTCTCCGTAACGTGTAATAATATTCGGTGTAAAATCATTCACGGGGCAGTCTTCCACGTCTCTGAAACGTTCAAGATTCCGATGCAGCTCCGCATTTCCAAGGTCTGATTGATTAGAAGACCTGCCCACAGTAGCAATTTCATTAGAAGGACTGCCCACACCAGGAACTTGATTAGAGGAGCTGCCCACAATTGCAGCAAGCACGGAAGCTGGCACGGAAGCTGGTGCCGCACTGGACTCGGCAAATTGATTAGAAGAACTACCCACAACAGCAACCTGATTGGAAGAACTGCCCACAAGAGCAACTTGGTTAGAAGAACTGCCCACAACGGCAACTTGACTAGAAGAACTGCCCGCAATGCCAGCTTGATTAGAAGAAGTGCCCACATTAGAAGAACTGCCCACAATAGAACTGCCCACACTAGCAACTTGATTAGAACAAGGACGAGGACATTCCTCACGTTCCTCCTCCGAGCTGCCTACAACTTGATTCGAAGCGTTGGCCACAACGACAACGTGATTTGAAGAACGGCACAAGTCAGCAACTTGAGTCAAAGAACTGCCATGATTTGAAGAACTGTCCACAACAGCCACTTGCATTTGAGAACTGCCTTCCTCGAGCTTCGGCCATAGCTCGAGGAGCAGACCGATCTCAGACGCCCTGATGCTCTAGACCTGATGCTGCACATGCTGCTGACGCTATCTGTGTACCTGAGACCTCTGTAGCTGCTCCTAATCTGGAGAATGAGTCGACTTTCCGAGCAGCTGCCCCAATACGTTGTCCTTGACGAGTAGTTTTTCGTACATAGCTCGAGAAGCAAGCAGTTCTGAAGTGTTTGAGCCATGCAAACAGAAGCTTCTGATGCTCGTGAACCTGTACGTCTATTCAGAACTTGTGAAATTGTTTTGAATGTCCAGATCAAGCCGAAAGACTGAACGCTTGCACCAAGTAGTTACAGAGTGCGAATCGTTTTTCGGCCACAGCTCGAGTAGCATATCGATTTCTGGTGTCCCAATCCCCGAGGATAGAGCTTCCGATGCTGCTGGATCTCTCTTCACATGGAACCTTTGTAGCCTATTTGAATATCCAAGTAAGGTAGAACAATTTAATGTTATGCAAACTTTTTTTTGTTTCCCCCCCCCTCTTCCCCCCCGGTTGGTTCCCAGAAGTGAACCGATTGAATTATTGCAGTTGCAGCCCTGAAACTTTCTCCAGCGAGCGCAGCGTGATCCCATGCTCTCTTGCGCATAAGAGTGCTCTGAATGCAGACAGAAAGCTCCCTGCTGTATCAGCTTTAGGAACAGAAAATGTATTTTTGGTTTTCGCATTAAGTTGGTGCCGCCAAGTTTTTTGATTTTTTACTGCAGTTTTTGACCTGCAAGTTTTACTACCGGGCGCAACGTCATCAATTACAGGTGCAAAACATCTTGGTTCTCGAAACGAATTGTCAAATCTCTCACAATCTTCCAAAAACCGACCCCAGGTAATCGCAATTGTCCGTTCTGGCCATGTCGGCCAGCAAGCTGCACCCTGCGCCCGAATTTCTCTTCGCTCCACGAGTTGAAGAGCTCTACGAGGTATGTTACCTTTTTGTCCTTTCTGGCCCGGTCGACCAACTAGCTCCACCCTGCTCCCGCATTCCTCTTAGCTCATCCTGCCGAGGAGTTCTGCGAGGTATTCCTAGCTGTGGTCGATGCAAGAGCCGTTCTGGTCGGGTCGGTCAACTAGGCGCCGGCGGTGAACGGTCGACCCGGTTGCCGCCAGGAACCTCGTAGAGCGCCGCAGCGTTGGCCGCAGTCGCAGCCGTAGCCGCGCCGCGAATCTCGGGATCAAGTCGAAAAACCGAGCAGCTGCCTAACGCAAAGTATGATGTACAAATCGTTTTTCGAATATAGCTCGAGAGCGAAGCCGATCTAAGGCTCTTATTAGACTGCGAGCTCAAGCTTTCGATGCCCCTGTACCTCTTCGTCTACGCAAACCTTCCGTAGCTGCTCCGAATATCGAGACTAAATAAGTCGAAAAACTGAGCACTTACGCGACAGAGTTCCAGAGCGTGAGTAGCGTTTCGGCCATGTTTCGAGTTGCAGGCCGATCTCAGGTTCCCCGATCCTCTCGACTGGATCTTTTGATGCTGCTGGAGCTCTCGGTCCACATGGACATTCTATAGCTGGCCTGAATCCCGAGTTAAGGTAGAACAACTATATTTTCGGTAAAGTAAACTTTTCCGAAGGTCGATTCCTGGAATTGGTCGATATACATATTACATCCACAGCCTTGAGACTTTTACTAGCGAGCGCAGCGTGATCCCATGCTCAGTGCAAACATGCTCGATTTTAACATGAAGAGTCGAACCTCTCACAATGTTCGCAGAAAACCGAGCCC